CCGCATCAGACTCGACGTTCCCACATCAGACTCGACGTTCCCGCATCAGACTCGACGTTCCCGCATCAGACTCAACGTTCCCGCATCAGACTCGACGTTCCCGCGTCAGACTCGACGTTCCCGCATCAGACTCGACGTTCCCGCATCAGACTCGACGTTCCCGCATCAGACTCGACGTTCCCACATCAGACTCGACGTTCCCACATCAGACTCGACGTTCCCGCATCAGACTCGACGTTCCCACATCAGACTCGACGTTCCCGCATCAGACTCGACGTTCCCCCATCAGACTCGACGTTCCCACATCAGACTCGACGTTCCCGCATCAGACTCGACGTTCCCCCATCAGACTCGACGTTCCCACATCAGACTCGACGTTCCCGCATCAGACTCGACGTTCCCACATCAGACTCGACGTTCCCGCATCAGACTCGACGTTCCCGCATCAGACTCGACGTTCCCACATCAGACTCGACGTTCCCGCATCAGACTCGACGTTCCCGCATCAGACTCGGCGTTCCCGCGTCAGACTCGACGTTCCCGCATCAGACTCGACGTTCCCGCATCAGACTCGACGTTCCCGCGTCAGTCTCGACGTTCCCGCGTCAGACTCGACGTTCCCGCATCAGACTCGACGTTCCCGCATCAGACTCGACGTTCCCGCATCAGACTCGACGTTCCCGCATCAGACTCGACGTTCCCCCATCAGACTCGACGTTCCCGCATCAGACTCGACGTTCCCGCATCAGACTCGACGTTCCCACATCAGACTCGACGTTCCCACATCAGACTCGACGTTCCCGCATCAGACTCGACGTTCCCGCATCAGACTCGACGTTCCCGCATCAGACTCGACGTTCCCGCATCAGACTCGACGTTCCCGCATCAGACTCGACGTTCCCGCATCAGACTCGACGTTCCCGCATCAGACTCGACGTTCCCGCATCAGACTCGACGTTCCCGCATCAGACTCGACGTTCCCGCATCAGACTCGACGTTCCCGCATCAGACTCGACGTTCCCGCATCAGACTCGACGTTCCCGCATCAGACTCGACGTTCCCGCATCAGACTCGACGTTCCCGCATCAGACTCGACGTTCCCGCATCAGACTCGACGTTCCCGCATCAGACTGGACGTTCCCGCATCAGACTGGACGTTCCCGCATCAGACTGGACGTTCCCGCATCAGACTGGACGTTCCCGCATCAGACTGGACGTTCCCCCATCAGACTCGACGTTCCCCCATCAGACTCGACGTTCCCACATCAGACTCGACGTTCCCACATCAGACTCGACGTTCCCCCATCAGACTCGACGTTCCCGCATCAGACTCGACGTTCCCGCATCAGACTCGACGTTCCCGCATCAGACTCGACGTTCCCGCATCAGACTCGACGTTCCCGCATCAGACTCGACGTTCCCCCATCAGACTCGACGTTCCCACATCAGACTCGACGTTCCCACATCAGACTCGACGTTCCCACATCAGACTCGACGTTCCCACATCAGACTCGACGTTCCCACATCAGACTCGACGTTCCCACATCAGACTCGACGTTCCCACATCAGACTCGACGTTCCCACATCAGACTCGACGTTCCCACATCAGACTCGACGTTCCCCCATCAGACTCGACGTTCCCGCTTCACTTCTCCTTCCTGTTTGAGTTCCTGTATGCAGTGCATCACCTGCTGTCTTTTTATACGTATGTTTTTTTTGTGTTTTTTTACAGATTTTTATTGAGATTATTTAAAAAATAATGTGCTTCTACTAGAGGTGTGTGATATAAATATTTGAGTATGAGAAATAATCCGTCGCAGTCACTTGTGTCTACATGTATGTTCTCTCACGGTGACTTTTTCAGGACGTTTGCTGAATATTCTGTCCATTCTCATTGTTTTTGACTCTGAACCTGATGACAAAGCTTGTAGTATTTGATGTCAATAATATCAGATTTTAGGATTATACAGAATCTTCTGCCTTTAATGTTTTCATTTGCAGACATGCTTCTGCTTTTGCTACAAACCACTATCATGATCCAGTAATACCTGTAATATTTCAGCCTGTGCTGCTGCTGAGATCATGATTCATTTCACACAAGTTATTGTTGTAAAGACTTGATAAAATCCAACATGGATCTGTTTACCAATCAATATGATTTATTCGTGAATGAGTTTGATTGACAGGTGCAGGGAGAGTTAGTTTTCCGATCCACCAGCAGTCCAACGGTTAAACTCACTCTGTTAAACTCTCTCTCTCTGTTAAATCTCTCTCTCTCTCTGTTAAATCTCTCTCTCTCTCTCTCTCTCTCTCTCTCTCTCTCTTTTAAACTCTCTCTCTCTCTGTTAAACTCTCTCTCTCTCTCTGTTAAACTCTCTCTCTCTGTTAAACTCTCTCTGTTCACTGTTTGTTCACTAAGTAAAGGGAACAGGGCATTAGGCGCGACACATTTTCTTTCTGTGAATTTGTTTATCTTCTTATCGAAGGTATTTTCTTGTTTGATCTTCGTCTGATCTTCATGGCTTCTTTTCATGTGTATCTCAATTCATCTGTTGATGATGATTTAACTTTCCCATCATGCACTGCTCTAGCATGCTTCTGTTATCTGTGAAGGAGGGATGATTTATGTAAATTTAAACCTGCTTTTTTACTTTTTTATTTAAATGAGCTTTCACAAGGAAAACGCTGTACATTTTCTCTCCCTGTCTGTATGAGAGTTTTGAACTACTGTCTTCATTTGTAGAGGAGAAAATAAATTTGATAAATACTAAGTTATGGTGTTGTGAGAGTATGAGAAGATTTCATAGGTAATCATAAATTATCTGACTCTGTAGTTTCATGTGTCATTAGCTTTTATTCCTATATTAGATTTCATGCTAATTTTAGTTTCATTTTTAGTAATTTCGTTATGTGCTTTTGTCATTTTATTTTATTTGTTTTTTGTTTTTTTAATAAACAAATAGCAATTTATTTTTATTTCAGTTTTAGTTTGTTCTTATTTATTTGCAGGTAATCATTTTACTGATTCAAATTCAACTTATTTCAATTTATTGCCAAGGCAACATTTCTAATTTTCGTTCAGTTTTAAAGGTACACTTACGTAAATGTTTTATTTAAAGCTGCAGTAGTTTTTCATCTTTGTCGCCATCTCTGTTCGAAATCTGCAAATGCAGTTATTGGCGTATTGATCAGCTTTACGTGTGTTGTGCCTCGGCTCGGCACAGCGCGGATGAACACAATGTTTTGATCCGCCGGTGTGGATGCTGGCATTCGCAATCACAGATTCTACTTTATGGAAGTATGACCAACATAAGAACTTTCACAGGGAAATGGCCTCTGAACAAGTAACATCCACTTTGCATTGAATTGAATTGCACAAAAAAAGCATTGCAGTAAATCTCGTTGATTAAATCTAACGATCGCAAATCATATCACGTCAAACCGTGCAAATTATACTTTGTTCTCGAATTAATGTTAACAACGTCAGCATTGCTGACGACATCTAATGCCCTTCAGATATTATCCTCGTCTTCGCATGGGCCGTTGCAGTCTCTCTTCTTCTGTTGCCACTCCGAAGACTTTTGCATTTTACAGCAGTTGAATCTGTTGTCACTGATTGTCGTATAACCCTTTCTGGATCCGCCATCAAATTGATAAGTTTAATTATATCAAGTGCTGTGAGAAAAGGCTATAAATCTCCACCTCCAGCATCCTCACACTCACAGCCTACTAGCCGAGACTCCTTCTTTATGTGTACATGTGTGTGTACAGATGTGTGTGTGTGTGTGTGTACTGTTACGACCCTTGGCTCAAGGGAAGCAACAAAAACAAGGGACACACGTAAACCAAATTGTAGGCTCAAAAGTAATGTTTATTTAGCTACAAAAGTAATACAAAACTAAATAATAAAATGAAAACATTTAAACAAAATAGAAGTGTTTCTGTATTCATCAGCAAGATCAGTGTGTAAAGCAAGATGCATGGTCGAAAGTGTAATGCAATGTTGAAGTTGAAATGTAAATGCAAAAAGTAACAAAATACAACGCAAGCAAAAGGCAAAGTCCAAAAGCAAAGTCCAAAACCAAAGTTCCCTCTCCCTTGGCTCAGTTGGTGATCTCTTAAGAAGCGTCTAAGGCACGGTCACAGGTGTTTCCAATTGACTGCCAATTGAGGCAATTAGTGGGCTCCGGTACCAAACTGCAATTCTCAAAAGCAGCAGCAGAGGTCGTCACACCCCTCCCCATAAGACAGGGACTCCCACAAAGATCCCTGTAACAAAACAAACAAATCTCAATAAACAGGCAAAGTATACACCCAAGTACAGGGCCGAAGACAGCTCCCAAAAACGCCAAAGAGAATAAATTCAAATCCAATAGATTAGAGTGCATCAGGAGCGCGTGACAGCGCATCAGCTACCACATTTTCCGATCCTCGTATATGTCGAATATCCAGACAGAAGGATTGCAAAAATAAGGACCACCGAACCAACCTCTGATTCGGACACTGCAAAGAGTTGAGAAAGGTTAATGGATTATGATCCGTGTAGATCACAATAGGTGCACAGGAATTAAGATAAACAGAAAAGTGCTGCAAGGCCCAAATAAGGGCTAACGCTTCCTTTTCGACCACAGAATAATTACGTTGGTATGTGTTAAACTTTCTCGAAAAGAAACTAACTGGATGGTCTACT